TCGTAAGTGCTGATTTCAGTTGACCGAATAAGGTTAAACAGTATCGATTGATGCGGCAAACAACTTCTCAATTCTTGTTTATTCGGAAGAAAATTAAATCACAAAGATATGGTCACTTCATGGTTTCATTGGTCACTCACTGATGCTATGCGCATTCGATCGACAAATAGTCATTAATTTCGGAACTGCTCGACGCCACTTTTACAATTCGAAATGACCAGAAAATGTTTGATTAAAGGAGCAGGAAGTAGATCTCTATAAGTGCGTCTTTCCTCCTGATAATACATCGTTGGCGGTGCTGGGTTTAATTCAACCATTCGGAAGTATTCCGCCGATCGCGGAAATGCAAGCGAGATGGGTGGCAGCAGTATGGAGTGGTCAAGTGAAGCTGCCGTCTCCAAAAGGAATGATGACTAATATTGAACAAACACGCGAAATTCGAATGAGAAGGTGAATTTCTACGTTTTGATCTGGATGATATCGTCGAAATATAATGCAATGAAAAGATCTAATTGGGCTAGTGAAACTGTTGTATTTGCACATAAAAAATAGTTAAGTGTTGCGCAACTGCGAAAAAATTTAAAGTGAGCATTAATGAGCCGTTCTGATGGTAACTGAGATGGTTGCAGATACCTCAAGAAAACGAAGCATACAATACAAGTTGATCATATAACGTATATGGATGAGATTGCCGAAATGATTGGAGTTAAACCGAATATATGGAAGGTTCGCCCTTCAAAATAATTCCATAAATACCTTCGACAGAACTCGTGTGCAATCAGTCAGATGCGTACCTATGACATATTACAACTGATTGATATGTAATTGAGTGAAAGCGTTCAGAATTGTTTTCATACTGATACTGAATAAGGCGATCATAAGCAAGCAGTTGCAACGCTGATATTATAGATCAGCGAGATCTTTAGGTTATCAGAAGTGTTGGAACGTATTTTTTTCACGTATTGAATTTGTTTCATATCAGGAGTTGATTATCTTACTCGAACGCGTAGCTTCTGCGTAAGGCATGACTGAAAATCACACATTTTCAACTGCATCAATTATTCATGTTGCAATTTTTTTTCATTCAAGAAGTTCGAAAAGCAAAACTTTTTCTTTGGATTTACGTTTTTGCAGACCCAGGAGGCATTCTTTTGAATTTGCAGTATCTATTCAAAGATCCGGTGTTTGCGGTCCGTCTCNTGAGACGATATAAAAGGAGTGGAAAGCTTGTTAGTTTCGCTAGTGCTGCATCGCCCTTGGATACAATAATAGATTTTAATCGTAAAGGAGGTCTTGACTATCGTGCGATAAGAAACTAACTGTGAATTTTGGATGCGATTTGGTGGCACAAAATTATCGATAAGTTCTCGGAATGTCCGAATAAACACTAAAGTGTCCGATATCAAAATCAGTTCCAACTTTAGTATCATAATATATGAGAATATGAAAAAGTGTCTATCGTATCATGAAAAAGTGTCTTGTATAGGGGTAAATGGACAAATCCATGTCTCTCGTTTGGGAATGCATGACAAATCCATGACAAGTCCATTAAATCAGTGGTTCTCATAGGGGTAATTTGGTGCCAAGGGCTGTGGAGGAGGTCAGGAAATTAGCATCTCGTGCAGTTGTTATTTTATGATAGAACACGGTTGTAGTGGTGATTTTTGACTCGGACATATAAATGCGGTTAGTTGATGGCAACACTCTTCATTTTCCTATTTTTAGAGTATCATTAGTTCGTCTGGGCCCATTTTTTAGTATTGCAACAGGGTTTTCATTCTTCTCCTTGTTATTACAATCTTTCTAATAGCTTTTATCCCCAACAGTGTTCTTTTTTGCTAATTTTTCATTCATTCAAAAGTGTTCTTGCTAATTAAAGTCGGATACTCATTCCACCACTCTGCAACTGATCATTTGACTGTCGAACGTTGTTGAGCAATAATATTCGATTCTTATATTGTTGACTTCGGCCGTCAACACTCGTCAAAATATCCAGTGAATAGTATATGCTATAGAATAAGAAACTGATTCGAACTGTGAAGTGAA